TAATAATAATAATAATAATAATAATAATAATAATAACAACAACAAATATGACTTGGACAATTAGAAAAATTTTGACCAAGTGCAACCTCAGAAGCCAATATGTCTTACTCCAACTTCAACTACTTTTTTTAAACTTATAAAGCAGCTTTCATAAGCTACTAAAAGCAGCTCAAGGTGCTGTACAAAATAATACACAATAAAAAAAAACATAACTTTCCCACCCCCAACATAAAAAACTAACTTTTGCATAAATAGTCACAGTGATAGTCACATTTTCAATTGTTAGTTTGTATCTCAATAATTCAGTCCTACATAAAACTGTCCAAACTCTTTTAGAGAACAATGTTTGAATGCTCAGAATGCAGAGAAAAATCATTTAAAGAAGCGTGACTAGTGAGAAGGATTAATTTCCCATATTCAGTTTTGATTTCTCAGTACAGATCAAGATGAATAAGAATGCCCGTCCAGCTTGTACATGGCATTCTGTATTGCATTGGCATTTGTGCTTTTCTACACAAACTTTAATATAGATAATAAAATGGAGGAAAACACAAAACATTCATATTTGAACCTACCCAGCAGACCCAGGCCAAAAAGGGTGTAGTAAAAAACCAGGCGGAATACTGATTGATTGGAGAAAACCGCACTGATTTCGTTGTCGCACACGTCATAGACATAGTCCCCATAAAATTCTGAGGAGTTCTCTGTCTCATTCATGCTGCTGGAAGACAGAAAACAGCATTTATTCAATACGACACAGCCACTGATGCAGACATAAGCAAAACAAGTAAATTTACAATCTGCTTTGAAAGATTAAATTGCAAAACCTTCAAAGCCCTTAAATGGAAAATTGGATACAAGGGAAACTGCAAACACTTCTTACATTCTTCCATGTCTTAGTTTTCTTAAATGATTCATTTCAAGCCTCAGAAAAATGATGACTACAGGCTTTTAATGTATAACGGCTTCCATTTCCTGTCAACAACTCTCCCAAACAAGTATATTTACCCACACAAACACATGTCCAGATGTATAAAAACACATTGAAAGTGATAAAATTAACTTTACTGAGGTGACTTTGTATTTAAGTCATAAAAAACAACAACAGATTGTGGTTATTTTAAGTATTGCTCTAAAACTCAAACTGTTTTAAGCACTTTCACTCAGAGCACATAAATAAAGCAGAGTAGCAGAGGATAACAACTAAAGGCCAGTTTCAACTAATTTCACTTATTTCATCTTTTATTTTTTTCCTTCTGAATTTTTTCCACAGCTAATCTAATAAGGTTTACTTACTTTACAATATGATGCTTTGATTCCTAATTTTAGTTTCCTCAGATTAGAAAACAAAATAATAAAACAAAAACACCAGCATAAAATAATAAATCTTTGAATTTTTTGTACAAGAAAAAAAAAGTTAAAAACAATCATGCCATAATATATCATAAGCCTTCCTGTTTTGCTGTCTTCTTCAGCCTGTAGACACTGAGTGCTGTCCTGTCCAAACTGAGCATTTTAAACAGATTTAAAATGATTCAAAGGATGAAACTGGTTTGGGAACTTAGAAATGTTTTCTTGGACTTTTTTGCCCTTTACACACTGAACTTTTTAGGTGAGATTTCATCAAGTGAGTCACGTCTATAAGGGCCACACGTTCACACTCTTGTCTCTGAAATGAACAAAATCCCCCTCAAATCTGAAAGAAATTCTCAAAAGTTATAATCTAACTTCTGCCACGGCTCCAACCGGAGAACATCAAACCTTCCTAGTTTTGAAGACAATAAATTTATGTGATCTTTTTTTTTCTTTACATAACCACATCGCAAACTCTTCTTTCACTATCATCATACACACAACCACCTGCTTTGACACCCATGCCGACCCTCACTTCCTGCGGCTGACGTCGCACACAAACATGAGGCAGAGCCACACGTGCACACAAACTACACACAATGTGCAGGAGGTAAACAAGAAGTTAAATGGCAGCTTGATCAATTAGAAGTTAAAATTTGAAGACTTACTCCATTCTTTACCAGTCAGGGCTCCTCAAAAATGTGTGTTGGCGTGTTTCGCTCCTCACATTGTCATCCTGCCAGCATGCCCTGCACCTTTTTTTTGTGTGTGATTGTGTATGTGTGTCAAATGTTGCAGCATTGCTCATTTCTGGTAAGGTTTTCTTGTTTCCTCCGCATCATGTTCATCCTGCAGAGAGGTGTCAATGCGGTTTTCTGAGAAATGTTTTATGAATTCACCTGCTACCCAAAAGGAAACAGGAGAGCGGGGAAGAGGGTGTCTGCTTATAAAATTATTTTTTCTTGTGTTTTTTTTTAATTATTCAAGGGTGTTTCAATAAAACAAGGCACTGACTGTATGAAAATTTTTTAACAGAAAGTTTCAGATGTTTTCTGCGAGGGAGAAAAAGTATGTTGCTGTACTGACAAAGAAAAGGTTTACATCAGGCCTATTCAACTAATGGCCCGCAGGCCACTTGAGGCCCACAGGATACTGCAATCAGGCCAGCTGATGAGTTTATTAAAAAAATGCTTAGGCTTGAAAGGCAAATGTTTTAGAGTGGCAAGCTGCCTGCCAATGACTATTTATTATAAAAATAACCTTTAAATCATACAAAAGATAGATTCTTTATTTAATCTTATTGATTTCAAATTTATTTTAAGTAAGAAAAAAAACACTTTATTTTATTCAAGCAATTAATTTAATTGCTGGATGTTCAGCCCCTGAGCTGTTGGCCTTTAATAACTGCAGCCTCCTGAGTAATTTAATTGAAAAATTCAAACTGGACTGCACAACCCACTGCTTTTCTTGCTAGGCTTTAATTTAAAACCATCTTATGATAAGAATGTAAGTAAGTAAGTAAGTAAGTAAGTAAACTTTATTTCTATAGCGCTTTTCACAGACCAGGGTCACAAAGTGCTGCACAAGTGTAAAAGAAATAAATAAATTAAAAGCAACATACAAAACAATAAAACACAGTATTATGCTAAAAAGCAAGTTTAAAAAAGTGGGTCTTAAGTTGTTTCCTAAAAGTGTCTATACAATCCAGAGATCRAATGGTGCAAGGTAGCTCATTCCAGAGGTGAGGCGCCACAGCTTTAAAAGATCTGTCTCCTCGAGTCTTAAAATGGGTCCGAGGAACCATCAACAAGTTCAGATTCGACGACCTGAGGCTCCTAGTCGAAACATAAGGCTGGATGAGGTTCTTAATATAGTCTGGCGCTTGTCCATGAAGGGCTCTAAAAGTCAGTACCAGGATTTTGTAGTGCATCCTGTAAGATACAGGCAGCCAGTGCAAGCTTTTGAGGATGGGTGTAATATGTTCCCTCCTGTGGGTGCAAGTGAGCAGGCGTGCAGCAGAGTTTTGTACTACCTGCAGACGCGCAAACTCCTTCTTATGGAATGGAATGGAATGGGATGGATTAATTAATTTGTTTTGGTCAATCCTTGTAAATGACTTAATGCATGAATTACTTTTGGCTACTACTACACCAAATTTTAGCTGAGTATCTATGAAAATGACAGAGTTCTATTCCTTTTTGTGTTTGCTCGGTGGTTCATGAGATATTTTGCTAACATGACAAGCATTTTATTTGCTTTCTGGCGTACGATTGGAAACGACAAACGTCATAAAAGGGCAAAAGTTTAAGATGTTTCATTTTCTTTTATCTCAGTTTTCTACAAAGAAGTCCAAGATTTTGTTGCATGCGAGCTGCACCTTCCACATCACCACAAAGTTTATATAAAAGCTGATAAAAAGAACAAAGTGTTGCCAGGTTTACCTCAGACATTTACATGATTTATTATTGATTTTTTAAGGCAAGATGATTTTTTTTATTTATTCTTATCAGTCCAGTTAATTATCCTTAATAATGAAATGAAACATTCCTCTGCATCGTGTTGGTGCTTCCTTTTTCACCAAATTATTTCATTTGTAACAATTTTGCCAAAACTCTTCAAAGTATTAATATTATTATTTTTATTTTTGCTATATTTCTGTGTCAAAATGGCCCTTTCACTACATGTAAAAAAAAAAGAACTGAAGCAATGCCAGGAGGCAAACTTATCAATTATTGGTACATCAGAAACAAGGCCAACTTTCAACTCATCTTCGCAAAAAAAGAAGGCAAAGAATTTCTTATCGTGACAGAAATGACAATTTTCTCTCAAAGTAAAAGCAAGATACGATCAAACACCAAAGAAATTCTTCTGTACAGAAAGCAGAGTCATGAGAGGTTGCCTAAATATTATCATTTGTCAAATTCTTTTTATTAAAAAAATTACAAGGTAATACAGCATTGTGAGCTCTAAACAAGCTGATCAATGTAAGAAAGCTCATAGCTGATTTTTTGGGGGCGTAAATACGCATTTGTAAAATTCATTAAGGCGTAAAAAAAATACTTCAGTGAATTTATATACAGTATATGCAGCAAGTGATACATTCATAAAAGCTTTGGTGCACATCACATCAAAAAACGGAGTTATTACCAACTTTGGAAACATTTCATGTTGCAAATCTATTTTGCCCCATTATTTGGAGATTTACTTGAAGAATCGCCAAATAATGTGTAACGGGGGAACAAAAGCAGAATTCGAAGTTGCAATCAAACAGTGAACATAGAGAAGACTGTGGTCACTCTGCAGGAAATGGAAGAACTGGGGGTAAAACCAAAAATGAGACGTGCAGAGAGGGTTCAGAGATGACGTACTGAAGATCAAGTGTCTCTAGAAGAAAACTGAAAGTGGTAAAACCATCGACTGATTCACCAGTCTCTGCCTCCTCCTACATGATGACGGTGGAGGTGACATCGGAGGACCTGGACCCGACAGAGCTCTTCCTGGAGGACCGGTAGGAGGAGCTAACAGACGAGTCCGGGGCCCACTTCTTCAGCAGATGCAGGGCTCGCCTCATGAACTTCTGACCCACGAAGGCATAAATGATGGGGTTCAGGCAGCAGTGTGTGTAGGCGAAGGCCTCGGATATCGTTATCGACATCTTGATGTTTTCCTCCCACGTGCAGCTGCCCTCGATGATGTCGCTGGAGTACAGGAACTTCAAGAAACGGGAGATGTTGTATGGCATCCAGAACAAGAAGAAGATGACCACTATGGAGACTATCAGCCGCACGACACGGTGCCTTTTCGCAGTCCTCATGTTCACCAGCGTGGGGATGATCCTGGAGTAGCAAATCACCATCACCACCAGGGGAAGCACCAGGCCCAGCACATTTACAGCAAACAGGTCGTAATGCACCCAGCCCTCGCTTTCAGGGGAGTAGTAGCATCCCTTCGCCCCGTTATCCTCGTCCGTCACGTTGGCGAAGATGAACGACGGCAGGGAGACGCAGATGCTCAGCATCCAGACCACTGCGATCATGACGGCGCCTGCCATCATGGTGCGATACCGGGCCACCTTGTGAGCGTGCATGATGACCACGTAGCGGTCCATTGTCATGGCCACCATGAAGAAGATGCTGCTGAAGAAGCCGGACTGGTGGGAGCAGGACAGGAAGCGGCACATGAAGTCCCCGAAGGTCCACTCGCTGACCACGGTGTAGTGGATGTAGAACGGCAGCGTGAAGATGAAGAGCAGGTCGGAGAGGGCCAGGTTGAGGAGGCACAAGTCTGTCAAGTTGGTCTGGTTCCGGTGTTTCACCAGGACGCACACGACTAGGCCATTTCCTTCACAAGGATAGAAAACACATTAGTTCTCACACAGAGTGACTAAAGAACTTTTGTTTTTGTTTTATGTTTACTGACCAATGGTGCCAAGGATGACGACCAGAGTGTAGAGAGTCACCAGAAACCCCTTGCTAAAGAACCTGATGTCAAATCCCTCGCAAACGTTGGAGTTATTCATCGGCTCGTCATAGTATGAAGAGTAGTCAACTGGCGTGGTTAAAAAGATCATTTCATCAATTTCTGAAGACAAAGATAATTCATTTTAAATGTCAACATTTACCACTTTATGTAATGGAAATACAGTTCCTACACAACAGAATACAAAGGACTGTAAAACAATTATCACACTTTTTTGTGATTACTTATTTTTTTTATAAAAAATAATATGGTACCACTTTACAATAAGGCTCCCCTTATAGATGGCTTATAAAGAGTTTATAGATAGGTTACTAATTCATCTGTAAACACTTTATAAATCTTTAATAAATATTTATTATGCAATAATTTAGGATGAGAATCACAAAACTGTCCAGTTTTTTTTTTTTATCAAATAATGAGACAAATCTGTTCACTTATCTAAAGGTGCTATATAAAACATTTCAGACTAGGTTACTATACAGGTGCTGGTCATAAAATTAGAATATCATGAAAAAGTAGATTTATTTCAGTAATTCCATTTAAAAAGTGAAACTTGTATATTATATTCATACATTACATACAAACTCATATATTTCAAATGTTTATTT